CTGAACACCATAACCCCACCCCTGGGGACACTGGACCCCTGGGGGCTTCTCTCCCTACTCACCAATTAGAGAAGTCTTGCCTCCTCCTCCAGGGTAGCCATGAGGAGCCACGGCATGCGGCAGAAACACACTTTGCTGCTAAGTATCAGCCCACTTTTGGGTCATGGTAGGAATACGGGGAGCTGGGGAAGCCCCTCATCTCCACGCCAGCTGTCTCCAAGGCTGACACGCACAGGATTGGTAGCTCCCAGACTTCCGTCTCGCTCACTGGTGCCAATCCGCCCCTGGCTTTCCTTTTCTGGCAAGTGCATTGGAATGCGATGAACAGCAGTGATGATGTTATTTGGGGGAAATCTAGTCTTCTGAATTAGAGTAATTTATGGAAATAATAGGTCATTCACAGACATCTGTACTGTACAATTAGTAACAAATTACTTGCTGTCCTTAACTCATTAGACCTACTTGTGAGCATGGGGGAGTGGCTAAGAAGTGCTGCCTCAACCACGTTTGTTTAATTTAAGAAAGTATTTTGCCTTTTCTCCTGGGCCTCAGTTTCCTCACCTGTAAAATAAGAGGTTTGGTCTACTACTGAAGTGCTATGGTAGCGTGGAGGAAAAGAACTTTCCTAATCATCTGTAAAACAATCATCATGTGAGAGCCATGCTGTATATTTAATGTCCTCGATTTGCATTCAGTTGTGTCCATCCATCCATTCATCCATTCACCCTTCCTTGCTCCCTTCTGTCCTTCCTTCCTTTCATCCATCACTTTATTCATCCATAGATGAATATATTTAACACTTATTGACTCTATGTTGTATACCGGGCATTGCATATACAATATTGAAAACAGACAAGGACCCAGACTCCAGTGAAAGAACTGGTCACCCATCATACTGATGGCCACTGTGACTAATGCTAGGTCAGTCTGTGAAAGGAGATCTGATCTGGGAATCAAGGCTGAGAAGAAGGGGCTGCGTTGAGACGTGACAACCGAGATCTAGGGAGCAGGGAGACTCCAGACTCCGCCCTGTTGCAGAGCTGGTGAGCTGTGTGTAGGATGAGGCAGGAAAGTTAGGCTGGTCCACAGCTGACAGCAGATGAAGCTACCAGAGAGTTTTTCTCTGGGGAAGGTGACAGGAGTACACTTTCATTTCAAAGCCACTGAGCTGCCTGCAGCTCAGAGAACAGAATGGAAGGGGGACAGGGCGGCTGTACCTGTCCAGGTGAGAGGCTGGTAGAGGCAGCAAGCTGAGAAGTGGGCTCTGAAGCCAGGCAGCACCACAGGCCTTGATCTTGCTTTACATCAACAGCTCTTCCTCTCCATTCTGATCTGGTTGCTCTCCTGGAATACTTCTTCATGTGTTTCCTGTGGGACATCCCCTCTGCCAGGCTGCCATGCAGATTAAATGCAATCCTAACCGAAAGTGTGTAGCATAGGCTGGGCCTTAGTAAGTGCTCAGAACATGACAGATCTTCACCTTTCTGATTTTCTCTTACAGTTTTGCTGGTGTCTTTAAAGCCCAGTGTTGCTGAGCCATGTTTGTGTTTTCCACATCCAGCCTCCTTCTTCCCTTAATTCTGCCCTCTCACTGCACCTTTCTTGTGTTTTGAGAAGTAGCATTTAGGGGTCTGTCTGGCTGTCATTGTCCTTACCTGGGCAGTGGAGAAGGCCTTTTCTCTTTCTCCAGGGTCTGCTCAACAAATTGCCTCTCCTCCAGGGCCAGCGCCCCCAGGCTTACAGTTCCTGAGGGGCTATACCAGGAAACTACAGTCCCTGCTCTGATGATGAGGCAGCACCCCCATGAAAGGCTTCTATTAAGCCACTTGGAACCAGCCAGCCCACGCCCCACCAAAGCAACCCCTTGTAGATTCTGTCCACAGCCTTATCCCACACATTTTGACTCAGTCTTGAAGCATAAAAGGACATTATGTAAGCTCAATTAATGCACAACTCTCAACAGACCAGTTCTTAGAATTTTCACTGCCCTTAGGCAAATCTGCTCCTGGTGAGTGGCTTTAATCTAGCTTTAGAAATTGCTTCTGGTGGCTAATCAAAGAGATGGCCTTTGCTCGGCTCATGCTAAATAAACCAGGCAATGTCTAGGTTCTTATTTAGCGGGTATTGCTGTATGTCTCATATTGAGTGGAAAATTTATCTAGTTGCTCTGTGATAAGAATGCACGGATTTTCACTTGATCTTAGCCAAAAGGCCGAGAAGCGATTGCACGGATTTTCAAAACGCGGAAATAGAGCGAATTTATCATCCTGTCCCAGATGGTAATGACTTCAGTCAGCCCGAAGGGAAGCCCTGTGCTCTCCCTGTACTGATGGCTCCTGCCAGAGGCATGGACAGGAAGTGGCTTTGTTTATTTTATCTCCAGAGTGATATAAGCACCCTCCTTACAGGATGTCAAGTGACCTCATATTTGGAGGTGATGAACTTGGAAGAGAGGCTGGAATGGGGCCACACAGAGAGCCACCTACCTTGGATATTGCTTATTCTTGGAGAAACTTGGCAGAGTGACTAGCAAGGTCCCCAAGTTGATATCCAAGCTGTGCCTCTCTACCTCGCATGTTCTCATCTGCAGGTGGCAGCAGGAGTACACATTGAGCCCAGTTGTCAGCAGGGTTTAATGAGATGACCTTCGCCAGATACTGACATCACATTCATGTTTTTGTTTCCCCACCTTCTTTTTGGAAATTTTTTTAATTAATTAAGTCTATTGGTACATTTGAGATATACATGAAGATCACATTTATCACAGGGAATTTATACCTGTAGATGATATAATCTTGATTATTCTATTTTCTCCCCATTCCCTTTCCCTCCCTTCAACCCCTCTTCCCCTCCTTATTTACAAAAGCTTTGTTTCTATTTTTTCCTTCTTTTCTCACTGTTTTTTTTCCCTTTCTTTTCCACCTGCCCTCTCTAGTTCCCGTTCCTATTTGAACATTTTCTTCCTGTTTCAAAATATCCATTATACATTTTGGTTCTTATTTACACTTTTGGTTTCTCATACCAGAGAAACAATACAGGGTTTACACATGGGTGTCCGATTTATTTCACTTCAGAGTATAGTCTCAAGGTGCATCCATTTACCTAGAAATGCCTAAAGTTTATCTTCTTTATGGCTTAGTAGTATTCCCTTGTAGAAAAAAAAAACGCAACTTCTTTATCTATTCATCAACTAATGAGCATTTGGGCTGTTTCCAAGATTTTGCTATTACAAACTGTGCCACTGTAAACATGGGTGTGCATATATCACTGTAGTATGATGCTTTTAATTCTTTTGGAAAGATATCAAGAAGGGGAATAGCTTTTTTGGGAAATTTGGAAACCTCAGAAAAGTTGATGAGACAATAAATGCCCACGTGTCCTTTGTATTAGTCTTCTCAGGCTTTCATAATATAATACCACAGCCTGTGTGGCATGAGTAAAAGACATGCAACTTTTCACTGTTCTGCAGGCTCAAGTCCAGCTCCAGGTGCCAGCTGGGCTGGTTTCTGTGAGGCCTCTCCCCATGGCTTCCGGCTGGCATCTCCTCGATGTGTCCCCACAGGGGCTTCCTCTGTGGACACGCTCTTCTGCTACCTCTTTCTCTTCCCACAAGGGCGCTGATCCTGTTGGGTTAGGCACTCTATGGCCTCTAACTGTGCTCCCAGGTACCCTAGCTTCAAAGGCAGTCTCGCTGGGGGCGAGGGTGTGAGCACAGGGATGGGGGCAAGGCAAACAATTCAGTCCATAGCACACAATTCAAAATGTCGACAAGAATGCAACTCACATTCCCACTGTCTACTTCCCTCACCTGTGATGCATGTGCATTCCTTGCCTGGAACGCTGGGATTTGACAGCGGACATAGAGAACAGAGTCTTTTCCTCCAGCCACATCCGGGAGCACTGTGAGACCATGCACATGTGGGTGTGTGTGTAACAGTGATGAAAAGATTCCATGAACTTCCTATTATGACTCTAAGGAAAATGAAAAAAGCCTTAGAAAACCACACTTCTGTTAACTTTGCCTGGAGCAGTTTCTCCTGATACGAGAAAATATAAAATTCTCACAAGCATATAGATCACAGCTATGTAAAAATAACAAACATGACATCTCCAACATGTATTTTTAAAAAAGAAAAATCATAGAATACTGAAAGTGGCATGTACATAGCAGATATCTTTTCTTCCTTCTTTCCTAATTTCCAAATTTGGTATTAGCCATACATTATCTTTAACTACACTAAATTAAACCGATATAGAATTGGGTAATACCGTCAAATATGGCATGTGATAAGCTATTTTGCAATAACCAGAGAGTTGGTTTTTCTTTTAACAGCAACTCTATAATTCTAAGCCAGATTTCTCTGCTTATTCTAGTTTTCTTTTCATACATGTTGCCCAGCTAAGTATGTTTCAGTTAGGACCAATATGAAGGTATTTCAGCATGAATTTTACCCTAAGTACAAAGGGTTGTTAGCTTGTGCCTTTCACTATAGCATCTGCTGAATGTAAAGAATCAGGTTAATTATATTCAAGAATGGCTGTCCGCTTCAAAGCACAGCTTTGCCAACGTGCTTTTCCCCTAAACATCCCCAATAGTGCTCAGGACCTCTTTGTAATCTGTACAGAACTAGTTTCACCCCCCTCCTTTTATGGTTTCCTTTCATTAAAAACTTCCTGGGTTTCCTGCATTTTAGACTATTATGAATGAGTTTCCACATTCCCTATTCACAGCTCACGAGCATGGAAAGCCCCGGACTGAATATTTGTGACTCCTTGTACTGATCTTTGGAGAAAATGCGGGCATGTGTTTCGGTTTGGGGAAGGAGGAGCTGGGGCCTCCTCGCAGAGAGCAATGAACTGCATGGGTGCCGGGGTGTTTGTGATGGAGGCTCAGGGAAGCCTTTTGTAGGGGGAGGATTGGGACGATTTTGCCTGCAATGTGGCTCTGTCCTTGGCATCCATGAGAATCAAGAAACATTCACTGTTTTTATTGTTGGCAGCACCGGGCTTGGAGGCTCCTGCTCCTCTTCTGAGAGTGCTGCCAGCCCGGATCCGTGCATCACGTCCCCAGGGGTGACTGAGCCGAGGAAGCACCCACAGGAAGCCAGGGGTCCAGAAGGATCTCCACCGTCCAGCCCAACGCCGCCCTGGGAGCAGGAGTGTCCCTTGACCTCCATGCCCTTCACCGCGTGCCCTCCAGAAGGCTGCTTGGAAACCCCAGCAGCAGCACCTGAAGATGCTGTCACCCAGCACTCAAGCAGGGAACCTTCCCCAAGTGCTCCAGGGGACACCGTGGCATTTACCCCTGAAGGGGACAGTATGGCTGCCATAGTCTCTAGCACTGGGGGAGACAAAGAAATGAAGGCAGAGGGACAAATTTCTTCCTCCTTCAGTTGCACTGACCACTTGCCAGGAATTTCACCAGCACCTCCAGGAGAGCCAAGAAAGGAGCTACTATGTGCAGAGGGTCACTTGGAGTCCCACGGGAAAGAGGGTGTAGATGGCTGTTTCCCTTCAGAATCCAGGCTGGGTGTGGCTTCTGGACAGATAGTTCCCAAGGTCTCTGCTTCCGGCCCTCTAAGCAAGAAGAGCTCAGCTGGCCAAGTGGAATGCCCTCCAAAACCTGAAACCATGGTCCTGCAAGATTCAGCTCCAAGAGTCTTGGACAGAGAAAAAGGGCAAGTAGAGGTGCCACCTCAGCATTTAGCCAATGATTCGGAATGCCTTAGCTCCTGCCATTCCGCTGGGAGCAATTCAGGGGCTGTGCATGACGCTGAAGCTGCTGTGCCCCAGGAAAGCTGCCAGCAGCTGCAGATGAAGGCACATCTTCTCCACACAGAGCAGCCCTTGGACCCACTGAGTCCTGCCTCGGTGCCAGGGAAGGAAACTGTGGACGCCAGGGATGCTCACAGTCACTTGCAGACCAGGGTGAAAGGTGGAGAGTCCCACCAAGTTGCCCATGGGGCAACAGGCATCCAGGTAGATGTGAGTTCACTCGGGAGCCCTGAGCCCATTCCACTTACCCTGGCTGAAGAGACACATCCAGCTTCAAGCCTCACATCACCCCCAGCCACTGAGATGCCTGCTGCCACAGAAGGCCCCAGTTTGTTGGCCAGGGAGATGGCTTCCAAAGCTGAGATGCCAGTTTCTGCAGATTTGGTCAAAGAGCTGGTGGATGAAAGGTCGGCAGGACTGGAAAACTGGTCATCAGATCTTGGAAAAGAGCAAGAGTATTTAGAAGCAAGCCCTGGAGAGGTTTCTGCCTCTTCACCCCAGGAGAGGGCAGAGCTCTGGAACTGGGAGCAGAGCCATGCAGTGCCCCAAGAGGTGATGCTGTCCCCTCCTCCTCCTGCTGGGGCTTCAAGTAAAAAGACTGAGAGCTCAGTAGGGCCAGAGGAGGGAACCAAGGTCCCTGAGGATACTGGAAGTCCAGCTACGGCTAAAGAGAAAGGCAGATGCCGTAGAGACAACCCTGCAGGACTGGAACAAGACATAGAACAACCTGGTGCTGTGGATCCTGGAAATCTTGGGGCAGAAGAACCTCAAGCCTTCCCCTGCAAGCCCTATCTGAAGGTGGACAAAGATGAGGTCTCAAAGCCAAGTGATGACTCAGAGAACGGGATCCTTTCCAGCTCAGATTCAGCACAGCCACCCCGAGAGGAAGACACTGGACACCTGGACAGGTCTGACGCTGGGTCAGCAGATGCAGCATGGCAGGCGGCGGCTGAAACCCATGTGGCTGATGCGGCCATCTCAGCCCACAAACCCCAGCAGGAGGACCCCATCCTGACCCCAGCACCGGATGGTGCTGGTGAGCCTGCTGTTCCCAAAGAAACTGTCTGGGAGAAGCCAGGATTACTGACCAAATGTCTGGACATGCTTCAGGACAGGGAAGGACTGGGGAAAACAGAGTCTCCTTCTGCTTTAAAACCTGAAAAATCAGATTTTCTGTCGATTTTTACTGGAGAGGCTGTCACCAAAGCACAAGAGGTGGAGCACACTTTGGAAATAAGGACGACAGGCTGCCCATCCCCACAGAAGCCCTGCAGCTGTGACACGGAGGCCTTGTTGACTTCCCCAGGTCAACCTTGTGGGCCAGCGCAAGATGCAGCTGGACAGGAAGTGTGTGCTGGTGTGCCACCTCCCCCTGACGGGGAGAATGCAGCAGGGGACAGTGGGTTCACCACTCGCAGCCTGACGCAAGACTGTCAGGGAAGCCCATCCTGCCCAGAGCACAGCTGGCTAAGAGGAGCTGCCTCAGAGTGTCCCCCACTACCTCCTGAAAACTGCCTCCAGCCATCCCAGTTGGACTCTGAAGCGTCCATCTGTGATATTCTCAGGGAGGTGGCGCAGCCGCTTGCAAGTGGGAAAGAGGTTTACTCAAGTGATCCAGAGTTTAAGAACCAGGGTGCGGAGTCCTCCCAAACCCACACATCTACAGAGCCTCGGGTGGATGTGAGCTTGCCCACTCAGGGAGGATGGGAACAGGTGTCTGGGTCAGAACTTCCAAGTGAGCACCCCAAAGGCAGTCTGTCCGATGCTCCAAGTTCATCTCCCAAGGACACAGTTCTGGAGAGTTCTCTACCAGTGGAGTCAGAATTGTCAACCCCAGTAGGACAGAAGTTGCCTATACTAGGGGAGAATGAGCAAGCGGCAGCAGGCTGTGGTGGCCAGCCTCCTGCAGCAGACACCTTTAAAGACTCTTCTCTTGCAGGGAACTTGGGTGGGAAGGAAAGTTGCTGTGCTGGGCAAGGACCAAACAAGTCCCAGCAAGAGCTGGTTGGTGTTTTGAAAGCAGGCTGCCAGCATGAAGAAGCATGTTGCAAGGATGCAGGAGTTTCTGAAGCAGCTAACGCCTGGCCCCTGCCCCAGGGTTTGGGTAAGTCAGAGATGGCAAGTAGAAACATAGTGGAGGCCTCGCCTTCTCCACCTGACTCAGTAGCTCTCCTAGATGCAGCTCACTGCCTGCCGGCCCCAGCGTCTGCCAGCGCCAGTGTCACACCCACCCAGGATGCCCCAGAGAAACAGGCATGTGAAAAAATCCAGGAAGACAGGCAGGAACCAGCGCCGGCCCCGCACCAGGGAACAGAGTGCCCAGCCACTATGGATGCAGAGGCCCAAAAGCTTCTTGGGAGTTTCCCATCAGCTGGGAAGCAAGGGAGTGAAGCTGCAGCTGTCGAGAGCGGTAAAAATGCCAGTGAAGGAGACCCCAGGATGCTGCAGGCTCTCCAAGAACCAGAAGCTGCTCAGAGGGTGAGCTTCTTTCCAACCGAGCACTGCTTTATGTCCGGGAAGCAAGCTTCTGCCTTAGCCCTGGGTGAGCCTTGCCAAGCTGAGCAGCTTGTGTCCAGCTGTGAGACTGCCTCACTATCAGTCAGAGAACCGGCTGGGATTCCCAAAAGTACTGTGGGTATTTCCGCCTGCCAGGATGTCCCTAACCCAAAGAGGCTTCTGCTATCTGGGTCACATGAAGAGGCTGATCCTGACACCCCTTACCTGCATATTGATGGTACTGCCAGACAAGAAGCAAAAGACAGTACAGCGAAAGCTATTTCCTCTGAAAGTGCCCAGGCTCCTGATGAAAGCCCCCACCCCAAAGAAGAGTCCCTGCTTGCCCTTGGAAATGCCGCCTCTGTGCAGCTGTCTGCTGGCTCCCTTGCTTCAGGAGGTGCAGGTAGGGAAATCCCTGCGGTGCAGCCCAGCAATGAAAGCCCCGAAGCTGGAATCACTGAGGGACCTGTGGCCTCCGTGCCCTACCTGGACAGGACGCCTCTCCTGGCCAAGGGTAAGCAGATGGAAAGGGAGGACAAAGTGGCCACAGCTCCAGACCCAGGCGCCAGACCATGTGAGATTCCAGGGTGCCCTGCTAGTGAGGATGGTACGGTGGCCGATAAAGAAAGGGAGACAGGGGGCAGTGCGGAGAGGATGGTAGATCCTTCCCCGGACCCGAAGAGGGATGTGTCATGTGGTGTGGATGCAAGCTCCAAGCGGACCAGCGTGATCACCGGGCTCCCTGACTTCAGGGAGCACATCACCAAGATCTTTGAGCAGTCTGTGTTCGGAGCACTGGCCACTGATCGGCTCCAGAGCGCTCCTGGAGAAAAGGCAGGAGCTGGGAAAAACGTGGTGAGCAAGGACCCTGCCATACCACCGAACCCAGAAGAGTTTCTAGCTGGGACTCAAGCAGTGGCCTGTACCCTTCTCCCTGCTCCTCCTGCTGCACTCGTGGTGGAGAAGAAACAAGAACGGGATGCTGAGGCTGAGATTTCCCATCCGGTTTCCCAGGATCCAGCTCCAGACAAGCTGCTGGCTCTGGTGGGATCAGCCTTAGAGCAGAACCTGCCAGGTGCCAATGCTGAGCAAGAGATGACTGGTATCCCCCCAACAATGAGAAGCAAGAGGCCAAAGGGGTGTGAGGGGGCTTGGCCAGGCCTGGAACCCCAGGCTCACTCACAGCTTGAGAAGAGTGGGCAGGAACTAGCTGCAGGTCTTCCCTCACCCCTGCTGGCCGGTCAGGGGATCCCTATAGAGGGAATCACTGACTCCAGGGTAGCTCACCAGAGCAGTGGAGGAGAGGTCTTCGTCTTGGTTCAACATGACAGCATTCCTGCTGGAGAGCAGCACCAGGAAACATCAGCCTGTGACAGTCAACACAAAAAAGATGGTCCCCAGAACTCTGTTCATACAGAGGGTCCAGATAATGAGCTAGGATCAACCCATACCCTTGAAGCCTCTTCTCCTGGTGGGGATACGCTCATTGTTCCTGAGGCTAACAGTGAGCCTGGGACCCCTCACACACTTGGGGATGAGAAGAAGCCTGAGGCTGCTGCCACCATCTTGGAAATGCAAAATGCCCTGGGCCACAAGAGCGCCCCCAAGCCACAGGCTGGAGAAGTGTCAGACACTCCCCTGGAGCCCAGCAGAGTGACAGGAGCTGCTGGAGAAGCTGAGGGTGACATCACCTCACACACAGCTGAGACAGGGGCATGTGCACCTGGTGACTTGATTGAAACAGGTAGTACCAGCGTGTTCTCTGGCATGCCTCATGACTCAACACTGCCAGGGAGCTCTCAGGACCCAGAATGCTCTGACAGGGCTCAGGCGATGGAGGACGCAGCCATCTTGCAAGGGGACAGCACAGCTGGGCACCAGGAGGCCAAGGAACAGCCGGGGCCTGAGCTCCCTGCTCCTGCTGGGCACATGAAGGTGTGTGACTCCTTGGAGCCTGACAAAACCAGAGACCCGAAGCTGCAACATTTGGATCCAGAAGAGCTCCATGCTGACAGGTACTTAGACTAAATCCCTATGGGCTTTTTTAAAAGTCAAAGAGATGGGTAGTTTTTAAAAGGCTAAGTTTTCCATATCTAGTGAGTTAAATGTGCCCACTCGCTTTATGTGCTGAGATTCTGAATAATGTGCAAGAAGGAAGATTGTTTTAATACACCTTATTCTTTCTCTTGTATTCTTTAATTCACTTAAACTACTGGAAAAGCTTGAAGTGTTTACTGAGCATGATTGAGTGATAGGTTGAGGTCAGTGGTATGTTTTTCTGGAGTGCATCCACATTTACTCTTTTTTTTGAGACAGGGTCTCGCTAGGTAGTGCAGGCCAGCCTTGAACTCACTATGTAGTTCAGACTGGCTTCACACTTGCAGTGCTCCTCCTGTCTCAGCTCCCTGAGTGGTAGGATTACAGGTTTGTGCCACCACACCTGGTCAAATAGATTTGCTTTTAAATCTGGAATTATTTAGGCAGAGGGAACTAAATAGTTCAAAAGCCTCTTCAAACCATTAGCTATCTGAAGCACATTCCTCCACTCCAAGGATTTTGTTGTAGTAGTTACTTAAAACTGTCATTGGGAAATGTGCCTTTTTCAATAGGACATGGTGAGATGACCCTTTAACCATTCACATATGCTATCAGTTGCTTCTCTCACTGTTCCAGGAGGAGCCCTGGGCCTGCCTCAGTCACCTTACCTTTGGATCCTGAGGATGCTCTGAGAGCTCCTGCAGATGAGGCCAGAAATACAGGAGGACTGAAAAGGTTAGTGAACTTCTCCAGGCTTTGGGAGACTTCGGTACCTTCCTTAGACAGACATTGCATGTTTTACAAAGAAGAGTAGTCTTTAAACATGACCTCGGTTTTTGTTTTCATTTTTGTTTTTAGTTTTTGTCTTTTTGAGACAGGGTCTTGCTATGCAGTTCAGGCTGGCCTTGAGCTCACTTTGTAGCCCAGGCTGGCCTTGAACTCACAACGATCCTCCTGCCTCAGCCTCCCCAGTGCTGGGATTACAAGCGTGTGCCACCACGCCTGGCTTAAACATGACCTCTTAAATAAGAAAGAGGCAGGTAGCCATTTCCCATCCTAAAGACATGCAAAGCAGTACCTGATATAACTTAGTGTGCCATTGTAAAAAAAGGCTTGAGTTGCTTTCATACCTAATTTAAAACAGCTTTATTGAGATACAACTTATATAGCATATAATTCACTCACTTAAAGTGTATATATAGGCTGGGGATGTGGCCCAGTGGTAGAGCTGGATTCAATCCCCAGCACCACTCACACACACACACACACACACACACACACACACACTCATGCACACACACACACAGTGTCTAATTCAACTTTTAGTGTGCTAGGAGTTGTGCAACATTGGCTGAAATCAATTTCAGAACATTTTCATCCCCCCAAAAGACAGCTTTTTACCCTAGACAACACACCTTGCTGGCCTCATGCTCTCCGTCCTAGATACTCACTGATCTAGCTGATTGTCTTTAGAGGCAAATGGGCTTTAGTCTGTGAAGCAGGGATGGCTCATCACCACCAGCAGCTGCATGCCGCGAGATCTCAAGATTAGGAGCATGGGTGACAGGTATAATTGTAATACCCAGACCTTCATGAGACCTTCAGACTTGTTGGGGAAAAGGGGGTTCCTGGTCTTTCCTAAGTGAAACACCACCTGTGGTCCCTCTGCAGCTGCTGCTTAAGTTTCATCTTCTTGTGAATTAAAGAGACACTGTAGACACAGACACTATGAATACGCTTTGCACTATCCCTGGACTTTGTTCTCTCTCTTTCTCTCTTTCTGTCTCTCTGCCTCTCTATCTCTTTGTGTCTCTGTCTCTGTCTCTGTCTCTCTCTCTCTCTGACTCTAAATTAGTACCTGTGTCTCCTACCAGCAGCTGCAGGCGTTTTATAAATGATTTGATTCCCATTTTGCACATGCTGAAAGAATGCGTGGTCACTTGTTTTTCGAGTCTGAACGCTTCCCCCGACTCCCAGCTGCTTTTGCTGCCCCACGGTAGTGACTCTCGTGACTCTGGGCCGGCACGGATGCCGCCTTGCTGCCCAGACAGATGCAAGCTAACCTGCATTTGACACTCATTTCTGCCACTGCCTTAGTGAACTATTTCCCGCAGCCCTTGCTGGCTTGTGCTTTTTACATTCCCAGCTACAGCATAGAAAAAATATCTGCCTAGCTAGGAAAACCTCCCCCGCTCCACAAATGACTACATCAGCTCCTTCTTTTCCAACCTCTGTGGGCGTTTTATCACCTTCTTGGGAAGCTCAGGGCCAGACATAGAGTAGCCCATTAAACACTTGAAAGCTCAACATTTTAATCATTTTAAATTTTAAAATAATTTCCAAAATTGCATTAGAAATGATCATTCTCTGGCGTGTTGGGAGAGTATAAAAAAGGAGAAAAATCCACAATCACACCACCTAACAATCACTGTTATTTAGTATCTGTAGTATTTTACCCACTGTTGTTTTCTTCTGTTGAAATAGTCATTTTCTGTTGAAATATTTAGTCATTTCTTCCCACTGCTACCAAAACTCTTTATAGAGTAAGTATGGTGGACAACATTGTATAACTAGTTGTAGACTTGCAGGTTTGGATAGCATTCATGTTCCCTTTACTCCTATGGAGACTTTTAAAAATTAATTTTGATTAATTTTTATATTTATTAGTGCATGTGTGCAGTACATAATGATTACATTCATTGTGAGGGGTTGCTCCATGTACACAGCACATCAGAATTTGGAAACTTTTACATGCTTGGGAACTGCACGGTCCAGGACAGCTGTTGCTGGACATATGTGGATGGGGAGGTGTGGGGGGGGAGTGTAAAATACAGACAAGATGTTGAACAGTTAGAATGAAATAAAGAATGCAAAATACATCATTCATCATTTTATACAGTTATATGTGAAATGGTCATATTTTGGATATGTCTGGTTAAAATGCATTTATTGAAATTAATTTCATTTATTTCTCTTTTTGCATTTTTAATGCAGCTCCCCAAATGTTTAAAATTACCTATATGGCCGTGGCATACACGATGTGCATTCTATGTAGATCATTTGGCTGCGGAAGCTGCTTTTCTGTGTGTGTGGTTCTTGGGAACCAGGCCTTCTGCCCCATCCACCCGCGGCTGAAGCCCTCCAGAAAGATCTCTGGCTGGACCCTCCCCAGCAGCCTGTCAGCTGGGGTGACCTTTGGCTTCTCTTCCTTGAGAATTACAGGCGAGGTAACACCTGAGCAAATAGGCTGAAGGTTCCATCTATGCTTAGGGGCAATCAAAGTTCTCTGGAAGGGCACAGACTAAATCTGCACAATAGGAATGCGACAGAAGCCACAAAGGTAGTCTTTCTTTTTTCCCCTCAGAAAGGTAATATTAAAGTTTCTAAGCCAAAGTTAAAAACCTAAACAAAAACAGGGGAAAATTAATGATATACTTTACTGGACATGGTATATCGAAGTGTTACCATTTCAACATGAAATCATTATAAAATTACTAAGGTGATAGGCTGCAATCTTATTTGCTTATACTGTCTTTAAAATCTGGCGTGTGTTATATTTGGTTTTTCTCCGGTACCAGGAACCGAACTCACGACCTTGCACTTGCCAGGCAGGCGCTTTTGCCACTGAGCTAAATCCCCAGCCCCAGGCGTGTGTTATATTTGAAGCACATCTCCATTCGGACCAGCCACATTCCTAGCACTTCACAGACAGATGTGGCAAGTAGCTACCCTCCCGGACACCCCAAGAATAGACAACAGGCCACACCTTCCGAGGAGATATAACTGTAATACCCAGACCTTCTGAAAGGCCACACCTCCCCAGGGGACCCCGAAGTCCCCATCTCTCCAGTAAGCTTGTTTGTTCCTATGAGTTTAACACAAATGGTGGGGATGCTTGTTTTCCTCGGAGAGGAAACTCAACACTATGCTTCTTTTCAGTGAGCCCACTCACTGAAAGGGAGCAGGTCTCAGAGAAAAGTCCTGCTGTGGTCAGAGGGTGCATGTACTGGGAGCAGGTGTTGCCCATGAAGATCAAATTCAGCACTGCTTGGAGGAAGTTGGGTGGCCACAGATCGGCAGACACTGCCAGAAGCTGGACTGGTGAAATTCAAGGCCAAGGTTTTGAATTTTGCTCCTTAGTGGTTATATATGTAACCTCAGTTTTCTTATCTGTAGAATGGGAAGGACAACAAGTTTACTTGCCTCATTAAATCACAATAAGGGCTAACTGAGGTCACTGATTCCCACATTCTGGTGCTTAGCGGATGTTAGGTTCCCTGCTTTTTTGCAGTGGGCTTTCCTCACGGAATGAGCTGAATGATCATATCTGTCTTCAGTGTGGAGTCTGTTCCTGGGATCTCAGTCTGTGCTCCTGACACTGAGGTTCCAACCTGCCTATTTTCCTTTTCCAACATGGAATTCTTTGCCTACTAAAATATCTAAATGGCTGAGAAGAGAGAATACTTTCTTCCCTGCTGTTGCTGGTAACCCACAGTGAGCTGCTGCAAGTTAAACATTTTAGAGATAGTATTTTACTGTGATACATTGTGTATCTTTCTTTCATTATCTTATTGTATTGTATTTCACCATCAATGATGTTGTAAATTGCCAGGACAGAAGCAAAGTACATCAACCCAAGGTTTCCATTATCTTGTGAATTAGGAGGTGATTGCTTCCAAGGAATCTACTGAACTTTGAACATCCTGTTGAGTGGAACCGGTAGCACACATCAGACTCAGTATGTGAGAACCGTCTCTTTTGCTGTCTTAGGCAGGGTAGTTTGATAACCCTGTCTCATACACAGGCAGTGTAAAGATGTGTAGTGCTTTGTTCCCAAATTAGGAAGGTTTTTGTGGTGCTGTTGGTAATGTGCCCTGGGTAGCCTATGGTTTTGTATCCCTCCAGCCACCGGCTCACACCCTGAGAAGCAGGTCCAGACAGCCAGCCTGTGGTGCATTTGGTTACCTTGTGTGCTCTTCCTCATGAAGGGCGTGGGGGTGGGGACAGCCTCACTGCGTGTTGAAGGGATGTGAATTGATCTCCACCCTTGTAGACCATCTTCCTTGGTAGAAAGTCTGGAATTTGGTATTTCAATTACCCGTCACTCATGACAGCTCTGACAAGTGACACAGAGAGCTCATGACACATGTCATTCTGGATCAGTCTTAGATGATACCTTGCTTGTTTTTGCTGAACATGGATTTAAAGGGTTCTTTTTTCCCCACTTGGAGTAATGGTTGTAAAAGGCTCACATTCAATTAATAGTGCATTTTAGGAGAATTAAATTGTTCCCAGATGCTTAGGGTCTTTGTGCAGACCCAGACTAACTCATAAAGGGCACTTGGGTTGAAAAGTTGAGGGAAGAACAGAGAGGGACAGTTGGCCTCTTGCCGAGGAAGTCCTGGCCGCCCTGAAAGCCGCATGGGAAAGGCTTCCCTCTCTCCCTCCCACACCATCTTCCCACTCCGTCTCTGTTTCTTCCTTCTCTCTTCATCTCCTTCTAAAATTACCAAGGTGACATCATGTTTTCAAGTTTAAGAATAAGGTTAGAGGATGACTACAACTGTATAAATGAAGAAAAAGAAAAAGTCTTCCAGTGCAGTTTTCCTAGCAGATGAAACCTGGGCAACAGCTCAACCCCTGAGAGCCTTCTGGGTTTGCTTCTATAGCGCTGTCCTTCCCTCTGCGAGGCTGTTGAGGAAGACAGAGCCATTCACCACTCCTCAGCCCCTTAC